AAGAATGTGCACTTGGGTCGATGCCTCTAAATACCGAATTAGCTGGGGGGGTAGTGGAGGGTCCATGATTAAGAATCCGGCTTGCCCCCGTCCCATGAATGAAGACGAAGCGTCCTTGGAAGCATCAGACATTTTCAAAACATCAGGTCATGTGGTTCAAGTTTGGGTGAAATTTCCGGGGAGTAACCAGAGACACTAAAATCAGAACCACGCAGGAAAATCTTAGCAACTGCGGACATCGGGCTTTTGCTGTCCTGTGAGCGTGGTTGAGAAGGGGCAACTAATTCCTACCGTGTGTTGCACGCTGTCTGCTCAGTTAAACACGATTAGAAAAATGGGACTACAATCTAAGATTGAGAGGTGAAGAGTGTTTGCTTTCTGCGAACTCAGAGGAGTTACCTCTCGGAGCCTCAGGTATTGTGAACTCTAAAAATTTCAAAATATTAAGTGTATGTAAATAAACCAGTATAAAAGAAAAAAAATGTTTCAGATCTTTTGTTCACAGGGTCTCTATGAGTTATATTTAACTCAGCATCACCTAACAACAGCAAGTCTCTCATTTAGAGTCAGTCAGGATCTGGTGGAGGGCCTTTGTATTTAAAAGTTGGGTCTCACGTTTGGAAGCTGATCAGTGAAGCAGTTGGGTCTTGAAAGGTGGGTTCTCTTGTTTTGGTTGAGGCTAGGTTGTGGACTATTTTGTTGTTGTTTGGTTTTTTTATTCCATTCGCAATTGTGTGTGAGTTGACTAGATTTGGCTAACAATCATGGGCTGCAAGCCTCTTGTTTAAAACCAATCGGACCTGGTGGGAGGGCCTGTGTATTTAAAAGTTATCTGGGCCCTTGGGCCTGCAATCCTTGGGCCTGGTGTTAATGGTGTTTGGGACAAACATTCTTCTAAGTAGTAAAGCACTGATCTGTCAATTTGCTGTACTGAGGTGATTTGGGGTTTTTGTGACGCTGAACACTGTGACACTCATGTGTCAAATGCCATAATAGTTACCTATGGTGGACAGTGTCTGGTGGAGTTCCCAGATTAAGATAGGATTTGAAGCACAAGTGGCATCCACTTCCTAAATAGCATGCCTCCTGAAACTCTATGAATTTAGAGAAACAAAGATAGCTATACAAAAGAGTCCAGGTCTTTTGTTCACAGGGTCGCTATGAGTTGTGCTCGACTTGATGGCACTTAAGAACAACAATGTGTCAAAACAACTATGAGATATCATCTCACCCCAGTCAGAATAGCAAAATTTAAGAGCACAGC